CTGTTCCAGGCAACCAGGACGTATGTCACTCTACCAAGGAGTGTCCAAATAAAGATTTAACAATGCCCAAGACCTCTTGGCCCCTGTGTGACCTTGGACAAGTTACTCAGCTTCTTTAAGCCTTAAGTTCTTCGTCTATAAAATGGGACTAATATAGAGTTTGTTGAGAAAGCACTCCATAAATATTGGTTGTGGTTGTTGCTGTTGTTTGTATTAAAGTTTGCTGCCTCTCAAAATATGTGGAATCAGCAGGGTCAGTATCATAGCAGCTATAAAGGAATTGAAATATGTTCTTTCTCACAATTTTTTGGTTTATTTTTTGGCTGTACCAATGTAAATACTTAACTCTAGTCTGTCTTTGCAGGCTATTATTTCAGGGGGACAAAAGCCTTTGTCGTTTAGAAATGATTTTTGTGTGGTGACTGCCTTTAAGGAACAATGGGTTGAAAGAAAGTGCCTGTTGCTTCAGCTAATCAATTTGCTTTCAGGAATAACTTTGAATTTTAGCTGAGAGTGTCATCTGTATCTGATTAGACATCCTGCTACTCATCCCGGAAAATCAATTCTCCTCATTGTGAAATGGACTGATTACTTTAAATCCAGCTTTGAATTAATTTTTTTAAACCAACATCTTGATGGTTTTAAGTTGTTTCTAATTAAAACATCGAATTGAATTTTATGATATTGTCATTTTGCTTATTCAACTTACTTGATGTTAAGGGGGGAAATCTCTGGCTGCTTCTACTCAAGCAGAGTTTCTATCTACCAAGTGTGGGCAGAGCAGCCGCCTCCTAGTTGTAGGGCTCACTTCCAGTCAGTGGGAGAAGCCCCACAGGAGCTCCTGCCTCTAAAAGACAAATCGAGCCACACACAGCAAATCTGGCGAAGGCTGTTGTCCCAGCGGCCCAAATTAACTGGGTGATTAATCTCTATTAAATAGACAGGAGATGAGTGCCGGTGGAGGGCACAGCAATGCCTTCTGCTGGCCAGGGTGGACAGGAACTGTAAGACAATGTGTACTGCAGGGAGCACAAGCCCTGCTCTGGAGTCAGACACATGTGGGTTCGAATCCTGTCTACCAACTCCGTGATTCACGAACATGGGCAATGTTTCACTGAGGGTGGGTTTCCTTATCTGTAAGTGGAACTAATAGAACCCCCTGCTGTAGTTACAGTATTCAATGGGATAAGGCATGAGAGCCCTCAGCACAGGTCTGGCCACAGTAAGCAATAATTATACCACTTACTGTTGTCATTTCCCACACAGCCTCCAGAACTGGAACCCTTGGCTGAAGTGCATCGGCTCTTTGCTTCCCTCTGGTGGCACAGATCAGCGATCTGGTATGGAGGAAGCTGGGAGATGTTACCTTAAAAGTAAGGTAATTGAGAGCACCGCCTAGGAAGGAAGCCCGTGAGGTGTGAGGCTGCACCTCGCCTCTCCCATGCTTTTATTAGTGCTCCCTGGAGGTTGCTCCCTGCGTCCCATTGTGAGGCTTCCCGGCCCTCCCCCACATCCTCCACCCCTCAACTCCTTGCAGCCAGAACCTCCCTTGGGGCGGGGTGTTGCTGGCTGCAGGATAGAATGCCATCTGGGGGTGGGAGGTGGGGGTTGAGGGGAGGGGGGAATGCAGAGAGGTGGGTTGTTGTGAGGCACTGTGCTACTGCCTGAGGGGGTTGGATTTTTTGTGGCTCTGAATTAACACCCTCCTCCTCCTTTCCCTCCAGTCCACACTCCTAAGGGATCTCCCCCTTCACCCAGATGCTTACCTCTTCCCCTTACCTTTCCTCCTCCCCTCTTCTGCAAGAAAATTGCTTAGGGTTTGATTGCTTCCTTGATTACTTACAAGAATACCTTTCAATTTTTCAAAAAGAGGAGTACAGGAAAACACCCTGAGGGCTCCACAGTGGGTATGATTCTTCCTTGTGCAGGTGAGGTAAAAGCGGTGGTGGGCTACTTCCTTGCTCAGAGGTTGGAGAGTTCCCAGCCATGGTTCTCTGGCAGACCAGATGGGAAGTGATGAGGGAGAGGAGGAGATGTGGATGAAGTGGGAGTGGAGGTTGGAACTGTGGCTGGTTTCCCAGGACGTTCAACGGGGGCATGGGTGCTGTTCCCGAGTCCCCTCTGAGTTCCCTCAGCATTCTCCTTTCTGCCCTCCGAGCTCTCTGTCTTTGTGGGCTGTCTCGTCACGGGCGCACATTGGGCCACAGGCCACATCAGAGCCAGGGTGGAATCAGCACTTCCTGTTGCTGCCTGAAAACAACTTGCAATTTGCTATGAGCCCTCCCAGAACTGATAGAGGTCTTGGGGAAGGGGCCACTTTCTTTCAAGTCTGGGTGAGTACCTACCCCTTTGAGGTGCCCCTAGAGCCTACTGTGTGATCTTCTAGCATAGGGCTTAGACAGTTTTAGGGAGCATATTCATTTCCTGTGTAAACTGGGGGTTTCTGGAGGGGCTGACGACAGAATTCAGCAATACAAGTCATGTAATGACTCAGGGCCAAAATGAGCCATCCAGATGGGTGTTAGAGTTGATATCAGAGGTATCTATTTGTGCTTCTCCCTGGGCTTGTCACATGTGAGGTGCACAGAACCCTGTGCCACGTTTACTGTTCTGCTGTTGCCATCTTGAAATTCTTAATATTTGAATGGGGGGGGGGGCTGCATTTTTGTTTTGTACCAGGCTGTGTGACTACATAGCTGGTCCTGACTCCAGGGGGATCTGAGGAGGGGTGGCTGGGTGGAGATGAGTGGCAGATCCAGGCTGGAGTTCTTTATGATGTGGCTTTCCTTAGTGTTAAGCCTGGTGCACCTGCTCTGAACATGCTTGTGCAGAGTGTGGGCGGGGGGGGGGGGGGCAGGGTGTGGCATTTGGATCCCTAGCAAGGCTGTCAGTGAGGCTCCAGAGGTGGGGCCTGCATGTGGGCCTGGTCGGCCCCATGTTTGGAGGAGCAAGCTTGCCCTCCTCAGGGGGGCCACGATCACAGGGACCACTTGGGAGGGTGGCCTGGTCTTGCTTTGCTGCACTGGAGTTACTCTCCTTTCTGAATGTGGTGGGTGGAAACCTCATAGGGCTGCTGGGAAGTCTAGAGGAAAACGATGGGAAACAGTAAGAAAAAGGGCATTCTTCCCTGGAGCCAGGCACAGTTCCTGGTGCTGGAGGGTCATCATGTGGCATTTGTGAAGTGTTGAGCTCAGAGTCCATTCTTAGTGGTCAGGCTAATACCTAGCGACTGGAGGACAGGGTCCAAGTCATCTACAGAAGCATACACAGACTTTGTTCCCCAGGGACACATAGTCTCTGTGGAGGATGAGATAGTCACACACAGACTGGGGCTTGAAGTTCAGCTTTCCTCTACTGACCACAGTGCCTTCTGAACAAATCAGCTGACTGGTCTGGGTACAGCAATATTGGGGAGGGTAGAGATAGAGCATCAGGGCAAGTGCCCGGGCCAGTGCCTGGCACACTGGCCTGGCACACTGTAAGAAGGCATTGTTACTGTCATTAAGAATCCAGTCTGTGGTTGGGAGGTCAGATTATGGAGGGGGACACATGGGCCAGCAGGGCTGGAAGATGAGCTGTTGGTACTAGAACTATAGATGATACAGAGGAGACCTGCACAAAGATGGGGAGGTGTGCATATGGCTTGTTTAGAGTGAGTAGAAGTGGGTAAGGTGAAACCTGGAATGCAGGGAGCAGCTCAGAGAATGCTGCCCCACCCCATGATAGATAGAGAGGCCTTTGTGTTGGTGGGGGCAGGGGTGAGGATTGGGGATTTGGGGGCTGGGGCTGGTGGATCTCCATCAGCTGACTTCTTTACATTGGCCCTCCCTCAAGCCCAAGCAAGGGCTCCTGGGGAGAAGGACTGGCCTCTTCTCTACACACCTGTTATGCATCCGCTCACTGGGGATGGCTCTGCTGGTTGGTATCGGGGCTTCCCTGTCCAGTCTCCCTTCTTTCTCCATAATGAGGGGAAAGGTGGGACCAACACCAGCCCTTCACAGTCACCCAAACCCACTTAGCAGGAAAGCAGTTAGGCTCAGCCATTAGAGCAGTGTGATCGTTGTTAACCTCTCTGGTCCTTAGTTTCTTCAGAAATGCATTTGGTGTAACAGTATTACCAGGAGATGACGCTATGATGGAAAGGGCCTGCAATGGCACTGTGCTGAGGACATGCTAGGGCAGGATAATGCTGTGTGTTCCCGTAAGTATTGGCAGAGTCAGCTGTGCATGTCACTGGCTCCTGGTTCCTAGTGTAGCAGACAAGCAGTGCAGACGGGAGGAGGCATGTCCCCTTGGGCAGTCCTACAGAGTGTGGGGGACCCAAGCAGCACAGAGGGGCCTGTCTCAGGGCCTGCTTGACATGAATACCGTGAAACATGGGGCTGTGGGCAGTTTTTGCAAAGTGCAAGTAGCCTCGTCTTGTGAATATTAAAGGAACTCACATTTACCAAGTGCTCACCATGCCCTCTTATCCTGCGTGCTTTATGTGGAGTGCCTCCTTTAGCCTCAGGAGCCCTATGAGGCGTGCACTCATCATCTTTATCTTGCAGAAGCAGAAGCAGAAGCGGAGCCCCAATATCTTCCCAGCTGTGGCTGCCAGACAGCCTCCATCCAGTCTTATGGTGGGCACTGCCTGCCCCTCCTTGAGCACCACTGGAACCCTGGGGCCCTGTATCACAGGGATCTTGACTGGTCCCTAATCTAGTCTCTTCTCTAAATGGGGACCATAGTGGGACCCTCCAGTCCCATACACACTGACCTGGCTGCACTGATGAACCTGCCCAGGTGTGGGAGTCAGGCAGGGAGGAAACATTAGCTGTGTGACCTGGCTTTCTGTGTCAGAATTGTGCTCACATTCCATAGAGGTGACAGTGTTGACAGGTATTTGGGGAACACCGGTTTTTTTTCCAATATATTTGTCCCTGTTTATTCAAAAAGTGGTAAATATTTGATTGTCATCCTGGCTTATTTAAACAGAAAAAAATGTCAGTAGTCTAGAATTTTGGTGCATTTCAAATATATTTTATTAAGTTTCTTTTTGTCTTAGAAAGAATATGAACCCTGCATGCAGTGCTAATGGCTTCTGACATTTACATAGCATACAACAACAGTACAATGCGGCATACGCTGAAGAGGCAGTGTGTGCAGGGGCATTCTTAAGAGATATTTACAAAGGAAAGGGCCATAGTCATCTTAGCTTTCAAAAGAGGGCTGCACTATTTAACATTGAAGAATTACGCGGGGATTGCTTTAGTACTACATGCTCCATTGTAGTGAGGGAAAGAAAGATGCTCTGAAGGTTCTCCCTCATCAATAGAATGTATCCGTAGCTCTATACTCTGTGTGTATTTGTATATTTTTAAGTTTGCTCCTAAGGGTTTTGCTAACAATGTTAGGAACTTCATGTGCTTCTGAAGCATTGACTATTGAAGGAGTGAACTTTCACAAACCCTTGAGTTGAAGAGAAGATCCAAACCATTCCTTAAGTACCGTTTGCTTTGACATCCCAGGATCTTGGAAATGTTTCCTAGAGTGTGTAAAAATTAACCAGGGGGACGAAGCAGTCAAACTCGAGTTCATAAAAGAACAGACACAAAGAGATCTGCTCTCACTTGCCCAGTGACTGAGGCCACTGCGGAGTCCCCCTGAGGCTGTGACTGACCCAGAAGAGCGTGGCAGCTGTGCCGAGGTGCCAGGACCTCTGGGCGGAAGCTTCCTGCTCTAGGAATGGATCAGTGCTGCTATGAAATGTCTCAACCAAGCTCCCTGTTCCTCCTAGGTGCTTATAAAGCTCGGATGTATAGTAATGTCTGGACAAATACAAAAAAGCATTTTTTACAAAGGAAAGGCATGAGTTTCCAGCTTTTCAGTAAAAAGCAGCCTGTGATGAAATCTGGAGTGCAAGAGAGATGGGTCTCACATCTGGAAGCCTTTTGCACACAACTATAAAATGTAAAAAGTGACCCTTGGTAAAAAGTGCTTTGTAACAATATATAATTTGTGTCTTAATGCCTGTGAGAAAGGAAGGTTTTTTGTGTGTTTACTCTGCATAGTCCTTTGCTGTCTCCCAACGGGTATGATGCTTTCCCATCTGGGGTTTTTCACCCTATTCTTCGTAGACCCTGGGAAGAAAAAACACCCAAGTAAGTGGCTCAGGACATGACTTGGGCAGTGCACAACTGGTTTCTCGCCTTCCTTCTTGTCTTCGGCAGTGCCCCTCCCAGGACTGCAGGAGCCTGGGAGAAGTGGGGAACATCTCAAAGCATCACAGGCACCACAGAAGCTCACCTTTGACTTTCTAAACAGCCTCCACCTCTGTAGTCATTATATCCTCGAAACTCTATGAAGCAAACCCCCTCTGTATATGAGGAATCTGAGGCACGAGAGTCTCATGGATATTGGATGTCAGTGGTGGGAAGGAGTTCTGTCTCCAGCATGGGCAGAGGTGGGGGGAAGGGGGAAGAGGCATCTCCTCCCTCAATTTAGGGTTGTGATTTTCTTTGTATTTTGCCCAAAGAATGTCTATCCTCTGGAAAAACACCAGTTGTAGAGGCAACTGCCTTAAGACTGAAGAGTGTGTAGTGGGGCTGGGGCTGTCATGCAGGCATGTGGCTCCAGATCACATCCTCTGGTAGTTAACAGGCCTGTGTGCATTCACAAGCTGACTTTTCCCCTCATCTCCCAAGCCATCTCTAAGTATTTTAATTCCTTCTCTTCTGCTCCGTGGCTGCTGTGGGGTTGCACTTCACACCCAGACAGCCCATTGCTCCCTCTGCCTATTTCCTGATTTCTGAGTAAGACCACCTAATTGTGCAGTGAAATCAAATGCCTGCTGTTGCTGTTGCTGCCAGTGGCAGCTGGAGGAGCTCTGGGCCCTGAGGTGCTTGGCACTCTCAGGTCTGGACCCCAAGTGGTGGGCTGGCCTGCTGTCCTCTCCTTCCTCCATCCTAGGTTTAGCATATTCCCTCCCTCCCTCCCTCCCTCCCTCCCTCCCTCCCTCCCTCCCTCCCTCCCTCCCTCCCTCCCCCCTCTCCCTCTTCCTCTCTCTCTGTCTCTCTGCAAAGAGGACTTCAAGATAGTTCCCTTATCTCCATTCTACATTTATGGAGGCATTTTCAACCTTTTACAGGGGGAGGGAAGGTGGGGAAGACAAGGGAATGCCCCCTTCCTTTCCCAAGATACCTCAGTATTCCAAGAAAGGGATTAACTTATTTTGTAATGAAGTGATGGAGTTCTGGGAATAGAAGTGCCCTCACTGCTCTCATCATTGGAATTTGCAGAAATAAGAAGGTCAGGGCTGCATGGATCCATGCCTGCCTCCTCTTCATCAAAGCTGTGGCCTAGGTGGAGGGGTGAGGGATAAGCACTCCTTAAAAAAGGCCTGAATATCTCCCAGCAGTCCAGCGAAGACATTCTCAACCCTTCCATGAACTGGCCCTGAGGTTAGCCTCTTTACACGTTTGATGACACAGGGCCTGGAGCATAACAGTGGATGAGACAGGATGCTGCTTTTGCCACGTGAGCTGCCCTGATCAGAAAGAGGGCTTCATTCCCATCAGACTTGTAGAAAATAATATCCCACTCTCATCATTTTCTATTTCAAGCAACTGCAGATGAGGCAGTTTTGGAGGCAGCTCTAAAGATTCAGGTACTGGGATTATACCCAAGTGTCAACTATAGGGAGGCTGTTCACAGGCTGAGCTTAGTGTAGAAGGGGCAGCACAGGGACCAGAGGTAGGGAGGGAGAAGGTGACACTGGGAAGCCTGGCTTTCTTCCCTGTGCTCCTGAGAAGTCACTCCCCATCCACACTTAGACTTGGTTTCCTCCTCTGCTGAATGAGGTGCTGGCACCAGCTCCTGGGAAACTCAGCTGTGCAAGTGAGCATGCGTGTGTGTGTGTGTGTGTGTGTGTGTGTGTGTGTGTGTGTGTGTATGGCCATGGCTGTGCAGATACAGGTGTAAACAGGCTCTGAGTGTGCAAGGACAGGTCTGCTCCGGGATAGGATTACCTTTATGTGGTATAGGAGAACCAGGAACTTGCCTCCCCTCTGCAGCCAGACATAGGACCCCAGGAGATCAGAGCTGTGAAACCCTATCTTCTGATTATAGGGAAACGAAACCCAGAGGGGTAGGGGTCTAGTTCAAGGCTTAGGTGGTCTGGCCACTGCTGCCCCTGAGGTTAAGAGTAGCTCTGATTTTAAAGGGTTAAACCCTGTGTCTCCCTGCACCTGCATGGGAAGGAGTTTATCAGTTTTCTGGGCAGTATGGGAGAATCTATTGTTGGCAGGGAGTCATTCTTATCATCTTGTGGTTGTACCTACAGTTTTATAATTAATAAACCCAGTCACTTAAGTGGTCATGTTTCACCCCATAAGAATCACAGACAGAGCTGTGCCAGGTGCTCACTCAGCCTTGGACAGAGGGAAACCCAGAGTCATATAACTTAAGTTATTTAAATAAGGAGAGGAATTAAGACTGGAACATAAAATTTAAAATGAAACAAACATTAGTTTATAAAAGGATACATTTTTGATGCTTATAGCTGTCTAAGACAGCAATAGCCTGCTTTAAGTGGTAAGTTCCTCTTCCTTGGGGGTATATAAGCAGTGTCTGGGTATCTGCATGCTGTGGTTATTGTGATGGGCGTTCACCCATTAAACATGGCTAGAGGACCTACAAGGGGTCCAGAATCTGGGGACGAGGGGGAGGAAGGTGAGGCATACCTGCGCTTCTCGTTCCAGGCATTGTACCACTTGATGAACCTCTTGGTGCTCTGCAGCTTGGGGTGCAGGCAGTGCTCCTGACCCCGGTATCTGGACACGCTTTTGGTGGTGATGCTGAAATGGAGTGGGATAGGGGAGAGGATTGAGGAACCTGAATGATAGCCCCTTAGTGTGGCCTGTGGGTCGCCCTGGCCTGTCCCAATCAGGGAACTGAGAGACTGTGGCCTCCTCCCTCCTTTCAAAGGAACCTACCTATATGTTCACTCCCTGGCTGGCTCTCTGGAAGATTTGGGTTGTCCCCTTAATCTCTGACTCCATATTAGGGTCTAAACCTCTACTGAGTGATCGGCTTTCACTTTTCCCCCTGGAGCTCTTAGAGTGTGGGATAATGTCTCCCCACCCTCCACCCCCCTCCACCCCCACCTGCATGCAGGGTGTTGTCTACAGGGCTCAAACCTCCCTTGGAGAACAGCTCCTAAGAACCTGAGGTTTAGAGGTGGAGAGTGCTAATGCCAGCAACGTATGCATGACAAGACCTCTTTTCTTGGGTTTGAGTTGCTCCACAGCAGGGCTTGGACATGCTCTGTACACACTGTGGTCTCCATCTGATCTTTCAAACTCTGTTCTCCCCAACCCTTTGAAGATTATCTCAGGACTGTTGATCCTGAAGCTAAGTCTTGTTGGCCTTGAAGCCCATTGTTGTTCCTGAGCTTGAAGTCCCAGCTGCCTCATCCTTGGGCAGAAAAATAAGACCTCTCTTCAGACCTCTGTCAGCCAGGAGAGAAGCAGGTGGCATGGTATAGATGGTAGGGATTGGGTCTGAATCCCAGATCTGTCTGTGGGACCTTGGGCAACCTTTCTGATTCCAGTTTGCTCATCTGCAAAATGGGTATAATAGTAGGACCTACCTCTTAGGATTATTGGGATGACTAAAGGACATAATCTATGCAAAGTGTCTAGCACCTGGTAGATGCATAATGAATAGTTATTGTTATTAGTAATTGTCATGGAAGATGAGGTAGCCACAGAAAGAAGCCTTAGTATAGGAGCTCCAGCCTGGAGGGGGAGGCAAGACTGCTGCCCAGAACTGCTATGCCCTTCTCAGCCAGGGCTGGGCCATGGTGGCAGGAGTTAGAAGGGAGCTTCTGGGTGGGGGAGGAAGAATGCTGTTCAAGAATTAGGGACCACCTAGGGGACATAGAAAAGTGGGAGATGAGAAGTGAGGATATCACTCCCTGAGAGATCACCTGGGGAGGACTCAGGTGCTCGGGGATTGGGGGTGGTAGAAGGAGGGGTAGTTGGGGGTCTGAGTGGGAAGAGCAGGAAGGGAGGGAGAGAGGTCAGCTAATTCCTGCAGATCCCCAAAGATAAAGGGCTATGGCTTATATGCCAAGTTCTAGAAGGGATCAGAGTCTCTATGAACTGTTTCTCTTATTGACGGGAGAGGAAGTTGAATCTTGCCGCCAGAATGAGGGCAGAGTATTTGTGGGCCAGCCGTTCTCTCCCTGCTTCTGTGCTCTGAGTTTCCAGGGCCCCCACCACTGCCTAAACGTCCTGGGGGCAGAGATGGGTCTTCCACTGATGCTGGGTGACTGGGCCCTGACTTCGCTGGCCCTCTTTATGAGGGGCTTGTCACTCCCCATTAAAGGGGCTTGTGCCTCCTTTAATGTCTGGAGCATGAGGCCAGGCTTCAGAGTGGAGTCTGGTCATTCTCCTCCCCTGTGGTACCTAATCACTCTGCAGGAATTTAGCCCATGCATTGCCCGCAATGTTGCTTTTGCACTTGCAGTAAAAGGACATGGTAAAGCCTGAGAAAAATTCCTTTTCAGGTCAGTGTGCAAGCTCATAATTCCAAGTCTGGAGACCTGAAGGCTGGGGAGCAGGAGAGTATGCTCAGCCCTCAGCCACAAGTTCCAGTGCTCTGTCACAATACTGGGGCCATGAACTTGGTTGTGGGGTGAAGACATGAGGATTTCTGCCCCCAGCAATTACTCAGAAATTTGGGTCCTGTGTCCCTCTCCTCAGTGGTTCTAGGGTGCCGAGGGTTTTGGCAAGATGTCAATGGACATATGACACAAATTGGTCTTTCTAGAATCTGGACTTTCCTGGACCCTTCTCAGTGCAAGGACTCCCACTTACAAAGCAGGCAGCATCCCTCCCCCACCCATCAGAGATTTCTGGGTGACTCAGGGTGAGCTGCAAAACTTGCTTTTGTTCAGCCTGTGTGGCTGAAAACCTGCTTTGGCAAAAAGTACTGGCCCTTCGTCTGATCTAGAGAATCTTAGAAGCTTGAGGGGAGTGGACTTCCAGCCCTTCAGGGATGGGGGTGGTTCTGGGTGTGGAACAGAGGCTTAGGAGAGGGTGACTGCATGTGGATCTCATGAGGCTCCTACAAGTTTTCACAAGGCTGCATACAACCTTCTCATGCACTTGCCTGTCAGTTTCCTCTCTATTCTCAAAAGTTTAGCCAGGAAAAAGAACAGGCCTATTGACTAGTGTTCTGTCCTTTCAAGATGTCATTGTACCCCCCACCCTGCTTCTCCTCCCCTGAAAGGTCTCAGCAAAGGACTTGGTGTGTGGAACATTTTTCAGCACTTTGAGGACTGCTAACTTAATTTGCAATGTCCCTATCATTTTTCAGTACCCAAGCTGTGAGCTGAAGGGTTTCAGCTCCTGTGATCTCTGGCCCCCACAAAAAGAATTTTCTGGCTGTTGTTCTGGACCTGGCTCCATAAAGGAAGGGGCAAGGCAAAGGGGCAGGGGCAAGAGGGTAATTTAAGTGCCCAGGAAGAAGGCAGTAGGGTTCAGCCCAGGCCATTGGTTCTCGGAATTCCCTTACCTTCAGACCCACTCTGCCTCCAGGTAGCAGTGGGGAGTGGAAACTGCCTTTGCAGACTGTGGCCTTTGGGCTAGTGGGGCCAATGGTGGAAGGCACTTGCCCAGACTGAGAATAGTGTGTGTCCTGTTTCTGGGGAGGGGAAGAGGGGCAGTGGTCCGTGGCAGATATTTATTTGGTAGCTGTTTTGCCAAGGGCTCCCTTCCTGGCCAAAAGCATATTGATGGGGAAGCAGTGGTGCTGGCCTCAAGTGGTTAACTGGGAAGGCAGAGGAGCAAGGAAACTCAGTGTTCTCTCTGCCCCAGTTTCAAAGATATTTCCCACATCCCCACCAAGCAGAGCTCCAGCCACGTGGCACATTAACCCCGGCAGAGCCCTCCCCACAGGCTCAGGGACCTACAGTAGTCCAGCTAGAGAAGGGAGAGTGAGGGATCATTCTCAAAATGAAATTGCTAGAAGCTGAAAACTGGCCATCCATGGGCCCCTGATTGGAAAAAGGCTCTGAAAGGAGGTTCTGAGGACTTAGGACAATGTTTACTTTAATCCTCTCTCCAGTGATAGGAAGGCAGCACACCTCATAGTTCGGGTGCAAATTCAATAGTTCTGGGTGTACTTTGAGTGCTTTCAAGCTGGGTGTTGTTCTAAGTTGGCACACGGGAGCCATTTAACCCTTCATCACCCTAGAAAGTTGGGCAGTGCAAACACAGGGCTAGCCATTTGAATCCTAGCAAGGGTGGACTGGGAGAGGCTGTTCCCGGAGCACAGGACAGTGACCCTCTTTCCAAACTCTCTTCCAGACTGTTGCACCAGCGCCCTCAGGACTCACTGGGCAACTACAAAGGCTCTGCCAAGACCCTGCCAAAGGTGGAGAGATGTTAGCCTGACCCAGCCCCACGCTATCCCCCTGCACCAGGTTAAGAGCAGCACACACAAGCTTGGAACGGGAACTCACATAACCATCTTCTCCTCGCAGTGCGGGTACTTTGGCTTCATCTCCAGCTTCTTCACGTCGCTGTAGCGGATTTTGGGCCCCTTCCGGGAGCACTTGCATTTGGACCCTGCGAAAGAGTGCCCAGGGGCCGCTCAGTTGTGGGCAGGGTCTCTTGCGCTTCCACACCCTCGGTGCCCAACTCAGAACCCTGGATCTCACCACACCTAGCATTTGGCGCTTGGGTTCCCCAGAATGGGACAGAAAGGCGACAGAGGACCTTCTGGGCACTCACCGTCCACTCCCGCGGCGCACAGAGCCAGAAGCAGCAGGAGCAGGGCAGCGGTCAGGAGCCTCATGCTGGTCAGAGGGGCACAGCGCTCGCGGTGCGGGAGCAGGGACAAGAGGAGGGCGCCCGCCCTTCCGTGCAATGGCCCGGAGACACTGCCGGCTCCGCTTTTCTCTGTGCCCCGAGAGCGGCTCCCGGCTCCTCTCAGCTCCTCTCCTTCTGCTGCGGCCCCGCTGCGCCCGGCCGTCCGTCGGTGGGTGCCTCCTTCGCTGAGCTCCGCTCTGGGCTGGCGTTCCCTCCACAGCCTCCCTCCTCCCGCCCAGGCCTCTTTTAAATCCGCTCTTGCCCTCACAGAGAGGGAGCTCATTAATATGCAGAACCATTCGGTGACTCACTGAGATTTCTTAACACGGTGGGGGGAGGAGACCATCTTAGCCCGCCCACCCCAAACCTCATGCAGCGGCACATACTCCCAGTCATGAACACATGCACATTTGCACAGTTATCCGCTACCCGCGCTCCCACACACTCCTGCACACACTTGCACACCCAAACTCCAGCACGTGCACACACAGCCAGTGCCCTGGCTCCATTGGACAGTTGAGAGGCTGCTTAAGGGCACTGCTTTTCTGGTTTGCTTGGTTCCCTCTGGCCAGATGGACCTGTTCTTTTGAGCAAATGGGAGACCCAGATCTTCTGAGAAGAATTGACAGGGTTTTGGGGCAGGTGCCAGGTGTGAGTACCAGTGGGCCTGACTCCTAGGGTGTGAACAGTCCCTGTTGGGCCAGCAGCCCTGGTGGCCAGAGCACAAGGCCTGGTTGGAGGGAGGTTGCCATAGGTTGTATAAAAGCAAAACCCTCACCTGTGGTCGTTGGAGCTGGCTGAAAGAGTATGTGTGTGGGAGGTTTGATCACTTTTAGAGGAAGGCTTCCTAAAGTGGGTATGTGGCCCCTGGCTGTGCCAGCTGTCTGGGGGTGGGGCGAACCAGGCAGGGATTCCTCACTGTTAATACCATTCTTACAAAGCCATGCAGAGGCCCAGTAGGGAGATATGACAATGATAACCATCTGGATGAAGTCCATGTTCCAGACATTGTGCCAGGCTGTGTGGTGCATTGGTAGGGGACCAGGGATGGTGACAGAAGTTCCTGTTGCATTACTCACCAGTGTAAGTGAGTTCACCACTATAGGACTTCCTTTCATTCTGGAAAGTGACAAGTAGTCACAGTACTTGTCATAGGGCAGCTGTGAGAGCTACAGAAAATCAGACATATAGAGTGTATAACAGAATGCCCGGCCAGTAGCGGGTACTCAGGAAATTTTACTTATTGGTATCATTATCATATAGATACATATTTTATTTTGCTTCTTACAAGTCCCCTTTCAAATGGGTATTTTAATTGGTCATTTGACAGGCATGGAAACGGGCTCAGAGAGAAGAAATAACTTCTTAGGATCACATAGTCAGGAAGCAGGTGGCTAGGCCAGGAGGGACCCTGGTATGCTAGTATGTGGCTACAGAACTGGAGTTTTGTCCGTGGGCCACCTTACCTCCCTCAGGCATTTGTGAAGTGCTTCTTTGATAGACCCAGCAGCAGGATGGAGCTTCTTAGGCTTCGAGGGTCTCTGGGCTTGCATCTCAGGCAAAAGCTGGCGCCAGGGCAGAAGCTGCCAGACTCTTTCAGTTCACACAGCTCTGTGCTCTTAGCCCAGCAGCTTCCTGGGGGCAAAAGTGCCCAGAGGAGATCCTGGGGGGATGGAATGGAATAGACAGGCTGATGAGGGACAGAGTGGGAAGAATCTGTGTTGTGTCTCCCCAGTTGGGGAGCCTTGGCTTCCTTGTGGGGAAGCTGAGCTATGAAGAGCCAGCAATGCCTGTGAGCTGGCTTCAGGCCATGTCCTGAGTCCTATGTAAGCAGTTGTGTACCTATACTTAAAGCAAGGCCAACAACTGGACACTTGGATTATGCAGAGGATAAGTGCAAGGGACTTATTTTTGGGATTTATATTAATTTAAAAAAATATTTTTAGTGAATTTTAGAGAAAGAGGGAAAGAGAGAGAATGCTCGCACAAGAAAGAAACATTGATGTGAGAGAGAAACATCAATTTCTGCCTCCTGCACCCCGCCCCCCCCCCCCCCCCCCCCCAGGGATTGGGCCTGCAACCTGGTCATGTACCCTGACTAGGAATCAAACAACCAACCTTTCAGTGCATGGGACAATGCTCAACCAACTGTGGCAGGGCCATTTATGTTAATTTCTGAAATTTAAAATTCTTTTTTCTTTTTTTTTAATATTTTTTATTGATTAAGATATTACATCTGTGTCCTTATCCCCATGTTATCCCCTATCTCCCCCCCCCCCCCCGCTCATGCCCTCACCCCCGCCCCCCTGTTGTCCATGTCCATTGGTTAGGCCTATATGCTTGCATATAAGTCCTTTGGTTGATCTCTCCCCCTTACCCCCACCCTCCCCTACCTTCCATCCAGGGCCTGACAGTCCAATCAATGCCTCTCTGTCTCTGGATCAGTCCTTGTTCATCAGCTTATGTTGTTCATTATATTCCACAAATGAGTTGAGATCATGTGGTATTTATCCCTTAAAGAATATCCTTCAGCATTTCATATAATCCTGGTTTGGTGGTGATGAACTCCTTTAGCTTTTCCTTATCTGTGAAGCTCTTTATCTGACCTTCAATTCTGAATGATAGCTTTGCTGGATAAAGTAATCTTGGTTGTAGGTTCTTGGCAGTCATCACTTTGAATATTTCTTGCCACTCCCTTCTGGCCTGCATGGTTTCTGTTGCGAAATCAGCTGACAGTCATATAGGCACTCCCTTGTAGGTAACTAACTGTTTTTCTCTTGCTGCTTTTAAGATTCTCTCTTTGTCTTTTGCCCTTGGCATTTTAATTATGATGTGTCTTGGTGTGGTCCTCTTTGGATTCCTTTTGTTTGGGGTTCTCTGCGCTTCCTGGACTTGTAAGTCTATTTCTTTCACCAGGTAGGGGAAGTTTTCTGTCATTTCTTCAAATAGGCTTTCAGTATCTTGCTCTCTCTCTTCTTCTGGCACCCCGATAATTCAGATGTTGGTAAGTTTGAAGTTGTCCCAGATTCTCCTTACACTATCTTCATATTTTTGGATTCTTTTTTCGTTTTGCTTTTCCGGATAGGTGTTTTTTGCTTCTTCATATTTCAGATCTTTGACTTGATTCTTGGGGTCCTCTCATCTGCTGTTGGATCTCTGTATATTATTCTTTATTTCAGTCAGTGTATGTTTAATTTCTGACTGATCCTTTTCCATTTTTTTGGCATTCTCATTAAGATCCTTGAAGGTCTCACTAAGTTCCTCAGAGGTTCGTAGATGATTCTTGAGTAACCTTATAACTGTGGTTCTGAACTCTATGTCCTCCATTAGTTTGCTTCCTCCATTTCTTTCATTTGTGACATGTTTCTTTGTCTTCGCATTTTTGGCTGACTGCGAGGAGCCACTGTGTCTCCAGCTGTGCTGGAGATTCCCTTATGTGGTAGGACTTGCTTCAGTGGGGCTTTGGTGCCCACTGAGTCTGCTTCTTGAGTTTGTCCCTTATAGATGTGCGGAGTTGAAATCTAGTATCTGACCGGGAATACCCTGGCTCCTGGATCTCCAAGTCAACAACTGTGTGGGTCCACCCAGCAGGGGCTACAGCGATATCAACAGATTTCTCCTCTTTGTTTGGAGTTTGGAAGTTTTGGAGCTCTCTGATTCACTGCAGTTTGTTAGGCTGCAAAGGCGCAGGTGCCTCCTTTGTGCCACAGACAACAGCTTGGGAGGGGATGTAGTGGGACGGGGTCTCAGAGAGTTCCCAGGGCGGGGCAAACAGCAATGGTGTCGTCAGAGACCCCGCGACTCAGAGACTCCTCGAGTGCCGCGCGCCCCTACAGCAACAATGATCCCTGTGAGCAGCCCTGTGATAAAGTCGCCTTCGCTTTCTGACCCGCTGCAAGACAGTCCCGTTTCTCCCCGTAGGAGCCTGGACCCCAGCATCTCGCCGTAAATGAGTTCAGAGCTTGTCCCCTTCCGATTGAAAAAAACCGTGCACCCAGGAGCAGCAGCCTCACGCGCGCCCCCATACCTCTGTTCTTGGTACCTCTCCCCTCCTACTCGGTCTCAATGTGCTTTTTTCTTTCCTTCTAGTTGTAGAACTTCCACTCTCTCAGCTTTCCCGTGGTTCTGGATGATAGCTGTTTTGTCTTATAGTTGTGGTTTTAATGTTGTTGTGGGGGGCAGCATGTACAGGTTTGTATCTTATGCCGCCATCTTGGTTCTCCCCAAAATTATTTTTTCTTAACACAAAACCAGCATGTTTGTGATCAGAAACACACACACACACCCACACACACTTACACCTACTCAGCAATCTACACCAAGATGCTACAGAGTTACCTTTTCAAACCCTTCTCTCTTTGCTTACATGCTTGTACACAAATGAGATCAATGCATGTCCTGTTTATTTTTAATTTTTTAAAAAAATATATTTTATTGATTTTTTGAAGAGAGGAAAGGAAAGGGATAGAGAGTTAGAAACATCAATCAGCTGCCTCCTGCACACCCCCTACTGGGGATGTGCCCGCAACCAAGGTACATGTCCTTGACTGGAATTGAACCCGGGACCCTTCAGTCCGCAGGCCGACGCTCTCTCTACTGAGCCAAATCGGTTAGGGCAATGCATGTCTTGTTTAATAACCTGCTTGTTTTACCTGTCAGTATCTCATCAGCATTGTTCAACATGACTAGTTTAGCTTCTACAATATCTCTCTTTTTTTTAAAAAAAATATATTTTTATTGATTTCAGAGAGGAAAGGAGAGGGAGAGATAGAAAGAAATATCAATGATGAGAGAGAATCATTGATGGGTTGCCTCCTACAGGCCCCCTACTGGGGATCAAGCCTGCAACCCGGGGCATGTGCCCTTGACTGGAATCGAACCTGGGACCCTTCAGTCCACAGGCCGATGCCCTATCCACTGAGCAAAACCAGCTAGGGCTACAATATCTCTTTTAATTATATCATTTGAGGTCATATAGTATAATGGCTAAAAACTTTTTGTCTGGAGTCAGACTGCCTGAGTGTGAATCCTACCTACTATCTATGTGATCTTGGCTTATGACTTAACTCTTCTGGGTATTTATTTTCTCATCTGTGAGATGGTGATATAATAGTACCAACAGCATTGGGAGAATTAAATGAGATGGTGCATGTGAAGCATGTAACTTGGTCTCTAGCAGAGTAAATGTTCAATAAGTGCTGATTATTGTTATTACTGTTATTTTGGATACAGCATATTCCATTGTAC